ACTCCCTCTATCCGGAAATTTTCTTCTCATTTGACTTGTCACGATTTCCAATGCTACATTTTGACCATTAATAACTATATTTATACATAGGTATATTTTATAAAATTTTGATATTTCAAAATTATGATTCATTAGAAATATATTGATATTAAATTTAGAGTAAATTCCATAATTAGTCCTTTATAATAGGGGGGTTTCCCTATTTAGTCCTCTATTATCAAATACTACCCTATTGGTCTTTTTTTATGAGTATCTTTTCACAAATAGTTCTTTTTTATCTTCTATCATGTTGGTGTTAATTTGAGGGCTAAAAGTGTAATTTGACAATGATAATATATCTTTTTTATCATACACAATATTAAAGGTTGTTCCGTTTGAGTCGTTTGTGAATTATAGTCGCTTTCTACTACAACCATAGTCTACAAATGTGGTCTTTCGTTGGAATCCTAGCCCACAATCATAGTCATTATTTTTGTGTTATCCGTTTAACCAATATCAGAACACGTCACTAGACATAATGTTGATGTCAAATTATACTTTTAGCCTTTAAATTAACACCGACATGACAGAAGATCAAAAAAAGGACCATTTGTGGAAAGACGCCCTTTAAAAAAGGACTACGTGAGTAATATATGATAACAGAAGACTAAATATGGAAACCTCCCTGTTTTAAAGGACCAATTATGAAATTTACTCTTAAATTTATATCATAATATAATATATATTTTCCACAAATTAGAGTCAAAGTTTACAAAATTTGACTAATAAAAGTCGAATGTGAAGAACATTTTCGGACGGAGGGAGTACTCTTAACTTTTATATAATTATATGAAAGTGAAATTTAGTACTTCATATATATATATATATATATATATATATATATATATATATATATATAATTAATAAATTTTATAACAAAATATGATATTTCAAAATTATACAAGACAAATCAAATACTCTCTCCGTCCCTAAATATTTGCCACATTTGTATTCCCTAGGAAAAAAATCTAGTTTTTTCAATTCATTTTATTTACATATTGGTATTTAAATAAAAAATAAAATTTACATATCAAAAAACTACATGAAAAAGTTTTTCGAAATAAGAGGTATCAAGAATATTTTATTTTATCAAATAATCAATGAAAACGTAGAAATAAACAAAAGTTCCCGCGACTGCTGAAAAAGTAAACATTGCAAATAATTTGGGACGGAGGGAGTAGTTTAAATTTATATTATTATTCAACATATTGTTTTTTAAATTTCATGGCCAAAGTTTTTAATTTCGATCCTAAAAAATCAAATTAGAATCTTTTTTTAGAACGAAATGATTGATTCAATTTAAAAACAATATTTTTAAATGACATTAGCATGTCTAGATGAGTTAAATTAAATAAGGATAAAGAGACATGGCCATTATGCAATTTTAAAATTTAAAATGATGTGGCTAAAAAGTCCACATGGAAGCAATTTAGTGAGAGGGCATCCATGCCCCTTCATTAGGAAAGGCACCGGAGAAATTCTCATTATATATATATATATATATATACATATATATATATATATATATATATATATATATATATATATATATATAACACCTTCCGTGGAAGAAAATGGACAGGAAGCCCACAATACGTGTTTTATTTGTGAAATTTAAAAAATGAGGTTTGTTCACTAGAAAAAATGAGGTTGTGTAAATTTGTGGTACATTTGTCCTCCCATCCCAAAAACTTTATCATTTCCAATAATTTGCAGTCTTATTTATTTTAAAATTGTTTTATTTAGAAATTAGTAAATACTAGACAGTTCAACACTACACCAAAAGTTTTAGAAAGCAATATATGACAATAATACTTTATTTTATCAAATAATAATGAAAAATGCACAATTAAAAAAAGTGATTGAAATGCCAGAATAATACTCCCTCTGTCTTAAAACGTTCTTCCCACTTCCCCTTTTCCCCGTCCTAAAACTATCTTCCCACACACTTAAAAAGGGTGTGTAATGTCTAAAATACTCCCACCTTACTTATTTACTCCAACCACCACACTAACTCCACATTTACGTCACAACCTTATCTCTACTCCTGGACTCTTCGCCTCCTCTCTCTAAACCTAGATCTAGATCGATTGTCTCTCCATCTCGCCGTTTCTGCATCTCTCGTCCTCGCCATCTCTGTGTCTCTCCCCCTCGCCCCACTCCGTCTCACCCTCTATTCGTGTCTGTGTAAATTTCTTCTCCCACAAAACCCTAGATTTAATCCTCATCCCCAACCTTGATATGGATTCTCAGATTTCTGAGATCCAGTTACTTGTTGAATCTCAAATCTCTGAGTATTATCAAGGGATGAAGCCCGAAGATGAGAGGTTTGAGAACAGAGAGAGAGAATATCGATTCATTACACAGTGATGACAGAGAAAGTGAGTCCTCTGAGACCAGCTCTGAAGTTGGCATAGTCATTGCTGACAGCAAATACGAGGAAAGTGAGATGGAGGATGAGCAGATGCGAAGCTTTGGGAGTGAATTGGATGAAGAGCAGCCAGGTCTTGAGATGGGCAGCCACTCCAGTCTCCCGGAAGAAGGGGTTGGCGTGGCTCAAGCAATTCCAGGCTTGCTTTCTCATCGGGAGTGGAAAGTGAAGTTACTCTTTCTTTATTGTTTGCATTTTCATGGGTAGTTGCACACATTATACTATATACACAGCGATGATGAATATTTGATTAACTTTTCTAGGTCAAGTAGTTCATTAAGGTACATAATGTGAGTGGTAGTAAAAGAAAACCTACTGGAGTATATTTCGAGTAGTTGCCTTGATGTTGAAACAAAAAAGTCAAGGTCTTACTAACCTACTCTTCATTACTTACATATTGCATATACAAAATTCAAAAGCCAAAAACATGTACCCAGGCATTCACAAAAAAAACACTTGGTGTTATGAAACACACTTAGTTCATTTCTGAAGATGAGAACTCTTCTCCATCTTCACTCATGAACTGAGGCAATACTTGCTCTTCATTTTGCATAGACCTATTGGTCAGCACCCTTACTGTCTTCTCTAATAGTGTTTGGGGTACATTTAGAGTCACTGGCAATGTTCCTTCTCTAGTAGTTGTTTTCTACCTTTTCACTGGAATTCTACTTTTCACATCAATGGCAACACCCTCTAGTAGTTGTTTTCTAGCTCTGCTCCATATGTCACCTCTGATAATCCCTTTTTGAGCTGTGTACTGCCCTGAGGTGTTCTTTTTTGAATATGGTAGAATGACTTCAACAATTCTTTGTCTTTGTGCGTTGGAAAGTCTTTTGGTATTTTCCTGATGTTCACTTTGCAGATTTTCATGACGGCTTGGGTTGAAAGAGGGGAGTAGGGGAAACAATGAAAGCAGAATGGTGAGAGAGAGTAGCAGGAGAATCTGCCACAGGAGGGGGCATAAATGATGGGAAGAGAGGAGAAGGAATGAAGATTATTAGGGTTACTAAAAGTAGAAAGGTTTGCTTTTTATAGAGTGTAGTAATCGTGCAGTTTTTCTTTTTGTGTTAGAGGGAAACTTCTAAAGGTTTTCCTCCAAAATTCAGTTTGGAGGAAATGTAATGGTACTGCTCCTGATTTTCCCTCCCTCCTGATTGTAATGGTTGCTTTTCGGATTTTTTCCTTACAAGGGGCTGTCCTTGTTTATGTTTAATTTAATGTTTTGTGTTTAATGTTTAATGAAATGTTTTCTGTGCTTTTCTCCCTAATTGCCTTTATTTTTTTTTCAAATTCTAATTTTTTTGTTAGAAGGGTAAAATGGGAAGTCAAAGCCTAATTATACAACCCCTTAAAAATGAGAAAAAGTCAAATCGGGAAGAAAGAATTAGGACGGAGGGAGTAACTCAATAGTGTAAAATGTGTTTTCTCTGTCCCTAAAAGATTAATACTTTACATCTTACTATTAAAAAACCATGAGTTTTTTTATATACTTGTCTATTTCCATTGATTATTTGATAAAATAAAATAATTATCACATCTTGTTTTGTAGAACTTTTGATATAATTCAAAAATACTACGTATTTTTATTTTTGTACCAAAATTTAAATACAATAAATTGAAAAAACTTAAGATTTTATTACTTGTTGCATAAAGTATCAATCTTTTTAAGGATGGAAGAAATATTTAAATTTAATTTTAGAAAATTAAACAAATGTATTAGAACTTATAAAATCTCTATAAATACAACTATTCGTATAATATATAGAGTACTAATAGGCTACAAGTCCACCACAAGTGAATTTTGTTCACTTTAGATCTACTTTCAAGAAAAACCTTTGAATTTGATCAAAACAAACTATTTATACATTAGAAGTTGTGACCATGAATCGAATTGGATTAGATTACGAATCAGACTAGATTGGACCTATGGTCTATTTGGTCTCTCTCTTTTTGTTGCGATGACGAACTAGTTAGAATCGATACTAAAAAAGGCTAGTCCAATCTAATTCTCTACACGCCCTTTTAAAGATCGGTTTGGTCGGGCAACATCTGTCCTTTTACTCTTCTCTCCAGCACTTCACTCAAAACTTTCTAACAAGCGTTGTCAAGTTTGATTTCCGACAACTATATTAACCACAAAGTCTTTGCAACTATCACGTACTCTTTACAACAAATTTATAATGAATGTGTAATTAAATGTTGGACCATGCTACACTACCCCATTTGTACACCACAGGTTTGTACAAACATTTCGATGGTTTACACCGACATAAGTGTTGGTGCGTTAATAAAAATTCACACGGACATATATGTTGGTGCATTTAGCAAAAATTAGTTTGTGTTGGTGCAAAACTGCGGGGTACAAATTAGGGTACAAACCTTGGGGTACACATAGCATAATCCTAAAATGTTCTCAAATACTGTACCACGTAACCGGGTTTGAGGGGGCCGTAGTCTTTGTCGATAGCTTGTGCCAAATGGATACTAAAGTGTCATCACATCGGTCCCTCAGTTCTCACAGTTTCACACTGTACAGTCCTCCCTATTTATCACCTCTCTCTCTCTCTCTCAACATTCTGAAAGTTGAAACAGAAGACAAAAAGAGAACAAACCCAGCTCACCACTTCATTCCCGCCGCCGGCCGTCCCCTGTCGCCGGATATTTTCTGCTCGATTCCAATCACGCACACTCTAAATTGGTGCGCAAATGGATGCCTCTCTCACTTCACTCCCACACCCCTACTCTCTCTCTCTCTCTCTATGTATATTTGGAGCTATCAATGTTTATTCTCCATTAATGTACTGTTTTTTTGTTTAAATTAGGGAAACTTCTTATAGAAGAATTGATAGTCATAGTTTGTTGCCTCTTTTGGTAATCAATCAATCTTTTGCTTTGGATTCTGCCTCCAGTTACTTTTTCTTAATTTTCTTTTTATCTTTAGATTTTATCGGATACGCAGTATTTTTTAATCTGACAAGGTTGCTTCCTGAGATGTTTCTTGGCTTAATTTATCAAAATCTTGCAAAGGGTTTTGGATTCTGAGATTTCCATTTCCGTTCCCATTGCTAATTTGAATGTTTTTCTCTCTTTTAGTTAATTGTTACCAAATTTGCTAACCTTTGAGCATGTTTCCCTTTTTTGCCAATTTCCACTCAAAATGATTGCAGCCTTGTGGCATAAATTTCCACCCAAAACAGTTAGATGATTGGCTGCAAAGTTTTGTTGACTTACAAGCGGAAGAGGCAGAAGGTTTTGGGTGGAGAAGGGATTGCTGATTCATCAACCAGATTCCCAGAATCTCCCCCCGTTTCGTCACCAGAAAATCAAGAAACAACCGACGAATGCCGCGTGCCCGGTGACGAGCGAAAAGAATCCGGGGTGAGATATTAGCATTTTTGTTTTTGTTCCGACAGAATTGTGTTGGGGAAATGATTGCATTGTTATCTCTTATGTGACATGTATAAGAGGAAAAAGAGTACAAATTGATTATATAAGAGTTTAGGAGTTACCTAGAGCATATTAAGCTCGAATGGGTGTTTAAGTCTTTGATCCATCTTTGTTCTTTTTTCTTCGCAGGGTTGTCTCCAAGAAAGCTGCTCCCTTCAAATATATGATCAAGGAGGGTCTAAGGAAAGGAGGTTTGACTCCCCTTTGCTTACATTTCATCGAAGAGCCAAACGGAACAAGCATGTAAATGAATCCGAAGCGAAGTCTGGCAACAATGGCTGTGAAGATGCTTTGACTGTTCTAAAGCATGAAGAAGAGGTGAATACTATTGACGGGTGTTTTTCTAATGCATATATGTATTTATCAACAAGTCCGGATGTGTTTCTTTGACCTAAGAGCACTTTAATTGGTGAATTTGTGAAAATAGTTGCTTGGCTAACATTATTCAAGTGCTTTAAAAATTGACATTGCTTATTGTTTTTTTATCAACACTGCTTCTTAAAGTCAATTTTTGGTTTGAATATTATAGTTTACTTCTTTTTCTGATGATTCTATGTTTTCCCATGTTAGTACTAAGTAGAGATTCTTTTAAAAACATTTTGTTGCAGACTATGAGTAATGATGGTGATCGTTCGTGCGTTTCTGAAGGATCAGACCCTCAGATGAAAACGTAAGTTCACATGAAATGCCATTAACATGATGTTTTCTGGATGTGTAATTTTTTTTAGAATTCTAATATTCTACTTTGAATGTTTGTTACAGGCATCATGAAGTTAACAAACAGCATGATACAGTTGATGATACTTCACCACTTAATGAAGTTACTGGTTTGCATAAAAGCGCTGATGTAGATGTTCCAAAACACAACTCAGTCAATTCAATGATGCCCAAGCAGCTTATTATAGATCTGAATATCTCAGAATTTCCCGATGAGAGTGCGAGTAACAAAGACTCACTAGCTTTGAACCTATCCGTGCAATCGTATGGCATGTATTGTTCCACAAAGTTTTAACTTTATTAGTCTTTGAAGGGATTTTTACTAATATTATATAGTTGAATCTTTATCTTATCAGAATCTGCTGATATAGTGGGCTGTGATAAGAAATTGGTATGTGATTCGGTGGGTGACATACCCATTTGTAGTACACCAGAAACAGAAGGGAATTGTTGCAAGGGCTCTGTATTGAAGAATTGCCCATTGCAGGTGTGATAATTTATTTACCTTACTAATAGCTGAATTGGTCGGTAATGAAGACACTGAAGTTGGAAATGATCAATCACATGTGTTTTTATTTTTTTTGTACCAAAATTTAGAAATTTCTCCATTTTTATGAATATAAGACTAACGGCTACTTCACTATATTGAGTCTTTGGCTCAGTCGGAGGTGATGGAAAATAAAGATGTTACTTTTAATGCCTTTAACTAAATTTAGCAGATCAAGCCATTTCATCGAAATGTTTCCAACCAAAATATACCCCTAATCTTGGTGGAAGAGCAATTTTTCCTTATGTTGCCCACAAAAATTATCAGCTTGTTTTTGACAATGACAAAGGTTGTTACTTTGCTTTCAGATCTCCTCAGAGGACATGACCTATGATTTTTTCCCCCTATCAAGCTCGCCGAAAAAGACGGTCAGAAAGGCCGAGGATTCTAATGGCATAGACTCTCACCAACAACAACAAAGCAGGTCCCCCCCACGAAATGTGGGGTCTAGCCCCTCACTTTTGCTCGGTCCTATAGAGCCACCAATGGTTGATAGACCTGCACTCAAACCTGCTTATCTTTTGAACTCATCTCAGCCGTTGAGAGAGTTTAGGGTAAGTGCGGCCCCTCCCCACCCACCCTCAGATCATGCCGCTTTACTGTTCCGACACCAGATGATACTTGACAACATAGTCAGCAGCAGAGCAACATCAAGGAAAGGAAACAGGAACAGAGTTCCAACAACGTGGTCTGAGAAGGAGCTGGATTCTCTTTGGGTCGGGGTGAGAAGACATGGGAGAGGCAAATGGGATGCCATGCTGAGGGACCCACGACTCCGGTTCTCTTCTTGGAGGTCCCCCAGAGACCTATCTGAGCAATGGCAAGAGGAACAATGGAAGCTCGTGCGTGGGGGCCCCACTTCCCAAGCAAGACATCCGAGGAAACCAGCCTTGTACCATCCAACTGATTTTCATCTTTCACTCGGTACAAACATTGGAACCTCCTTATGTCCCAAGCATCACATGTTTGACCATTCTGATGTGGCAGTGAGCGGCGGTTTGCCTCTCTGGATTAAGGAAGCGGTATCCAGACCTATTAGGCCTCTGCAAGGACTAAAACGCCCTTATGATTTTCCCACCGATCAAAAGGATGAGTTTGTCATCATCAATGGCGACCGTGACTCTTCAGAGGGAACAGTATCTGAGGATCCTCATAAATGACATCCAGTCTTGCTGTAATTAGCAGCCATTGTAAAGCTTTAAACATGTCAAATGTGGAAGCTGTAAAAAGGTAATTACTTGCGTTCATCATACACTTTTCAATATATTATTTGTTTAATTAAATATCAATTCCCCGACCAACTAAATGCACTTCGTAATTGTTACTCTGCAGTTAAGCCCCCTCCGTGAAGAAGTGGCAACTCTTCAAAAGCGTCTGTTTACCATGTTTGTAAGCTTTCATTGTAGCCTTCGCTTCATTGTTGTTAAAATATGAACGGTTAGGAACCTGCTATTTATCTTTTTACCGATTTCTTTTTCACCCATTGTGTTAGCTGGTCTTTCTGGAAGGAAGTTAATTAATGTAGGTGAATAAAGGTAACTAAAGGTAGTTAGTTTGAGCTAGATCTGAGGTAAAAAATATTAGGATGTAACAAAATTTAGCATTATGATGCAATTTTTTTCTTTCCTTGTTAACTTTGTTTTTCCAGAGGTTAAAGAATGTACCTTTTTTGTCATACTTAACAGCCTGTTTAAATAGTGTTAATATAGTCTTTTTGGTAAAAATTTATTTGCCACTGATGATTTATGGGCAGATTAATGTTGGGATCAATGTTAATTGTGCAAAGTATATCAATCTTATTTATTATATCATCATCTTCAACACCACTTTAATTATGGTCGGTGGTGTCAAATTTATTGGTGTCAATGAACTATTGTCCAGTGATACTACACACCATACTGAGGGTGCTTGGTAAGTTTAAGGGCGTGTTTGGTTTTAAGGCTATAAAAATCTGAATGGATGTGCTTGAATGGCTTCCATTCTAATTCTCTTTTTTATGTGACCTCCAACCAAACACGTCCTAGAAGACAGCTACTTTTCAGTGAAGTTGAGTTTCTGCTGAGTCTTGAGCTTGACCTCATGCATGAATGCCTCCAAATGCTTCTCTGAAGACCCATTTGCACACACAGCCCTCTGCAGTTTCTCCTGTGTTGTTTTGATCTTCTCTCCCAATCCTTCCCTTGTCGCCCCCCTGCTCATGAGGCGGTTCGTTTTCTCTCGAACTTCTTCCCTCTCCACCGTTTCTCCATCACAAAGGTTGATCCCGACTTTCCAATCCTCGATCACGAGTCTCCTGCTCGTGGGTTGATCCGAACACAGGAAAACACAGCATTGGGACTTGGCACCACACGCTCTCCAAGACCGAGTTCCACCCGCAGTGCGTCAAGAATCCCCCGGTCGCGTTGTGGGACAATACTTCGTTTTGGTCACACCACGGCACAACTAGTCCTCTTCCTTCAATCTCGCCGTCGAATCCCGCTGGGAAAAGATCGGGTTCGTCCGCAGATGAACCCGTGATGTCCCCGCGGATCGCCCAAAGAAAACTCTCCCCGCTCAGGGCTAGCCCGCGGGCAATCTCGTGAATCACGTGTTTGTCAACATTTATAAGACTCCCGAAGGAGACGTAGAGGACCGAGTTTTCCGGCCTGGCGTCGAGCCAGGGGCGGAAATCGGCCGACTCCGGACGAAAGCTAGTCGGAACAGTGGCAGCCTTCGGAAAGCTGTTCCGGGAAACCGGGCCGATCGCATAGAATGACATATCTTGTTGCAGTGCAGTGATTGTGGAGGACTCAAGCTCAAACGCAGTGTTGGAGACGATAATGTCGGCTTTGACCGCATCTTCGAGTGATTTCAATACGTATGTGTCAACCACATTCCATGGCCCCTCAGAGTTTTGAAGGGGAGAAGGCAAATCTCTGGGTTTGATTGCTGCTTCCACACCAAAGTGACGATGAGCGGTTAAAAGGTCCTCCTTGTGTGTAGGTACATGGCGAAAACCAAAGCCGATTGGGTCCAAAAGGACACGTTAAGGAGGCCGTGTTTTTCGGCCACCATTGACGGCCACACGAAGAAAGAGTCAGTCAAGAGGCACGACACCGGTGGGTCCACGTCGGAACGCCACCGGAGGCGACCGAGGAAGTCGTCGACGTGAGCGGAGAAGACGTGGAACAACCCGTGGATGAACTGCTCTTGGTTTGTCGACGGGTCGAACCCCAAGGGGAACCCGTCCCCGATGAGGGCGTAACGGATGTCCAGCCCGGAGCGACTCCGGGCGTCGGAGAATATGTCCGACGCGGATTCTCCGGCGGCAGGGGCGAGCGGATCAACTTGGCGTGGGTGGCTTGGGTGTTGAGGAAGGTGACGGTGAAGCCGCGAGAAGTGAGTTTGAGTGCGAGGTGGACGAAAGGGGTCAAGTGGCCTTGAAATGGCGTTGGAACCATCACCACATGAACGGCGGCGCCGCTGCTGCTCTGCTTCATCTTCTTCAATTCTCTCTGTCTCCGGCCGTTTTTTCCAAGCTCTGCAATTCTCTCTTGCCTTTATTTAGTACTGAGTTATATACACCACAGAGTACTCTTTTCTCTCTGGTAAATAAGACTTTTACACGATGGTTTGGATGAATTAAGGATAAATTTTCCGAACTTTGATTAATTATTCTTGTAGGGGTGAGTCTAGAGGTCTTATTTCCTCTTTCACTACTTCCCGTCTTGGCTTTGCTTTTGCGCTAATTTACTTTTGATTTTTATTGGTTCAACCGAAAAGAAAGAGAAGGGAGGTTGATGATTAGAATGAGTGATTTTAGATAGAAAAAGTAGGTTAAGAATTGGTGATGAAAAAAAATTGGTCTGAGATTTTGATATGGTGAATTGGAGAGAAACAACAATCATTTTTTTTGAGAAGATAGGATGATCTAAGAGAGTTTGTGAGGAGTTGAGTTTTTTTTAAAACCATGGAGATGACAAGAGAGAAGTTTCTCCTTTGATTGTTTTTTTGTGTGATTTCAACAGAGTTTTTTTTCTCTTTTTTTCATTTGGATGGAGAAGTTGATTTGATGATAAAGAAGGAAAAGAAAATAGAGGTGAATAGGGTGGAGCCGCCGTCGCCGGATTTACCGGCGGCGGCGGTGAGAGCAAAGAACTCTTTTAGGTCACCAAGAGCGGTGGCTCCGATACCATGTTGAAATATTGGAATAATAATATTGCTCCTTTAATTATGAAGTACATGATAGAGTATATATAGGAGAGACTCCTAACACAACTAGGAATAGAGAATGGAAACTAACTAACATACAACATCTACCACAAATAGGATTAGGAAACTGACTGATAATGAAACACTACCATAACCAATACTACAAGAAGTACTATTAGTATTATTGTCTAACAACAGGGTCAAACTTCACTTACTTTGGTTAATTATTTTTACTAGTAATTTCATAAAATAATATAGTCTTGTCACCTCTAGTTTTGTAGAACTTTTCATGTAGTTTATTACTATATAAATTTTATTTTAAAATTTTATTTGTAGAATCAATTAAATTGAATTGAAAATAAAGTCGGTCAAACTTCGTAACACGTAATGGGAAAATCATACGTGGACGGAGGGAGTATCATTTTGATAACTAAATTTAATTTTTTTATTATAAGAATATCTAAACTTTGAAGAAATTTCACAAAAGTGAAATTTGCACTGAATAAGAATAAAACATTAGTCATTTCCCAATGGTCCTACATTGAAAAATAAAAATATATGGTCCTATATTAAAGAAAATCATTATCTTTTAGTCCTATTTAGAAAAATTATCCTAACAAAAGGAACATGCATGAAAGAATGGTTGTTATTTATGTAAAAAAAACAAGCTCTCCGGTAAATATGACCCTTGCACGATGTTTTGTTTCGATTCATTAAGATGGAAACCAAAAAAATAGTTTTCCTCACCAAATTGCACTGTAAAAAAAACTGTTTTTTCTTCCACATATCCTTTCCTCTTATTTTCAATCTCTGTTTTCTGTTACCCAGCAAATTCGTTGATTTCACATTCGTTAATGTTTTATAAAAGGATTTCTCTTTCTTTTTTAAGAACGAATTGTATAACTCATAATTAATCCTCCTCTCGTTCTAATGCATGAAATTTAATCACAATTTTTATTCTTACTTTCATAATTGGTTTGTATCATCACCCGGTTTCAAATTTTTCTTCTTTTCTTTTAGAAAAAAAGAGTGAGTCTCATCTCCGAGAACCTTTGGTCACCAAGAAGAGGTAAATTAGACTCTGATCGCAGATTGGTGTCAAAGAGTTGAGTCTGTCATATATACTCATGGCCACCTAACATATACCTCATGTCCAAGAATGGAAGACGGAAGGGTGCAACTGAGAATCTTGCCGAAGGGTTGAGAAAGGAGAGGAAGAAAAGAGAAAGGAAAAAGATCGTCGAGATGATGGGAATGTCATAGATGTCGAGTACGGATCGGAGCGGGTTGTGGTGTCAATCGACATCGAAGCCAGCTTGGCTTCTCCCCACTGACGAAGCCGAACCCTTAAGCCTTAAGGACTAAATTAGGTGGTTTATATTATTTCTTTTTTAAATACAAATTAGGTGGTTTATATCATTTCTCTTTAAATTGAGAATAAGATCGCGAGAGAGACGGAGCAGTATATTTAAACTATGTGGTGTGGTGATGAAAAATGGGAGTGATGAAATGCAAAAGTGTATAATGTGTGGTGATGAAAGTTGTGTGATATGGTGGGGTGATTGGGAGTGAAAGTCTTATTTTTGTTTTTTGTTATAGTTTTCAAAGTTAAAGTCTAACATTAAATTTTTTTCCAAAATGCTAATAGGACTATTGAAAATATTATTTCAAACAAGGGCCCGCTAATTAGGGCAAATAATATGAGAGAGATGGATGTACCTTCTTGGTACATCACCAAAAAGTCGTAATTAAAAAATGTTTAAAAAGAACAATACATTATTTTAAAATGAAAATCACATCGTTTCAAAATGAATATTATGTTGTGCAAGCTTTTAAATGAACTTGAAAATGAACATTTTGTCGTTCATAATAGATAGAGTAATGCTATCTTGACCCCAAAAATGTAAACATCACTCTTACGAACCTCACTCAAAAGTAAAAGTATCTACCTTTTTTGTCTTAACTCTACCTTTTTTTTTTAATCCTACTTCCTTCCAAACAGTGTGTTAAAGTAGTGCAATCAAGCTTATATTGTGTTCTCTTCAATGATAATTGTGCAAAGTATATATAGGGCATGAAGTAGAATCAATATCATTTATTATATCATCATCTTCAACCCTACTTTAATTATGGTAAGTGGTGTGAAATTTATTACTGTCAATGATTTATTGCCCAATTATACTATACACCATACTGAGGGTGCTTGGTAAATTTAAGGGTGTGTTTGGTTTTCAGGCTATGAGAATCAGAATGGATGTGCTTGAATGGCTTCCATTCTGATTCTCTCCTTTTCTTTGTGACCTCCAACCTTCTCAAGAAAGTTGTGTTTCTGCTGAGTCCTAAGCTTGACCTCATGCATGAGTGTCTCCAAATGCTTCTGTGAAGACCCATTTGCAGATACAGCTCTTTGGAGTATCTCCTTTGTTGTTTCGATCTTCTCTCCCAGTCCCTCCCGACTCATGAGCCGATTCGTTTTCTCTCGAACTTCTTCGCTCCCGACCGCCTTTCCTCCACAAAGATCGATCCCAACTTTCCAAACTTCGACCACACTCCAGAAGGAGACGTAGAGGACCGAGTTCTCGGGCCGGGCGTCAAGCCAGGGGAGGCAAGCGGCCGACTCAGGCCGAAAGTTAGTCGGAACAGTGGTGGCAGCCTCGGGTAAGCCGTATCGGGAAACCGGGCCGATCGCGTAGAATGGCTTATGTTGTTGCAGTGCAGTGATTGTGGAGGGCTCAAGTTCAAATGCAGTGTTGGAGATGATAATGTCAGCTTTGACAGCATCTTCCAGTGATTTCAATGCGTAAGCGTCAATCATATTCCATGGCTCCTCATGTTGGGTTTGTGGAGGCTTGGGCTAGACTTGTAGGTCCGGCCCATGTTTTGTAACCCTAGGTTTTCTCCTATATATTAGCTCTCGTACTTGTAATTCTGGGAGACACGACAAGTGAAATAGAAATTCACCTGTTGCAGCCGTGGATTAGGAAAACCGAATCACGTTAAATTCTTGTGTGTCGTCTGTTTTCCGTTTCTCTCGTTTCTCGTAGATTATTTGTGTGTGTTGTGTGTTTAATTCCCAACAAGTGGTATCAGAGCTGGGCAGTGGAAGGTCGTGAAGGGAAATCTTGTCATGGCCTGCGGAAAGAAGAGAGGTTCACTGTATATGGTCGAGTTACCATCTGAGTGAGTGACCGTCCCAGTTCAGAAGAGAAACAAAGTCCGGTTCATAGAGTCTTGTGGGCAGAATAAGGTTGTTTGTGCAAGAGAGAAACCTAGAGCCATAGGTCAGACTCAGGATGATCGAGCGAGGAAAGGTTCAAGGAGGCCAGTCAGAGGTATTTATGGCAGTGGGAGCTCAAGAGGCGCTTCAGCCAAGTTGCCTAGAAGACGGTGGGTCAGGAGAACCAGTATTCCAGCTATTGGAACATCTCCAGAAAATTTCTTGTTGAGTATGGAGAATGTTTGTTCTCAAGATGTTCCAGGATCCGGCAGTGTGCATCAGCAGTGGTAGCCGGTAGGGACCGAGTACGAGTCAGGGGCAGATTTTGTCGTGACTGATGTGTTGGAGCTTGGGAGAGCTTCAACGGGTCTTTCAGTTGTCTGATGAGAGGGCCGCTGCAACAGGAGAGCTGAGGAAGATTACTCGATGTACAGGCAATCGTGGTGGATGGCAGTTGATGACTATCAAGCCTCAAAGTGGGAGAATGTTGGGTTTGTGGAGGCTTGGGCTAGACCCTTAGGCCCGACCCATGTTTTGTAACCCTAGGTTTTTCTCCTATATATTAGCCCTCGTACTTGTAATTCTGGGAGACACGACAAGTGAAATAGAAATCCTCCTGTTGCAGCCGTGGATTAGGGAAACCGAACCACGTTAAATTCTTGTGTGTCGTTCGTGTTTCGTTTCTCTCGTTTCTCGTAGATTATTTGTGTGTGTTGTGTGTTTAATTCCCAACACCTCAAAGTTTTGAAGGGGAGAAGGCAAATCTCTGGGTTTGATTGCTGCTTCCACACCAGGTATGTAGTCTATTCCATCCTCCTCTCCATCATCTAACAATGACCAAATTTTACCCAATTATATCTTCTCTAGAAGATTGATACTTTTTTTATCAACCTCTGACGACACTCTTTGACTACGAACTAATAATAGTTTAAAAAAGTTATAAAAATTCGATATTTCAACACTATATTTCAAAATAAACCCAATTTTAGTAAATTTAAATTGTAACTAAATATATTTTTACCATAATTCGCGGTCAAAGACTACTGCAGTTTGAGCAAAAAAGTCAAACTGTGATAATCTTTTAAAGATATAGGAAGTATATAACTCTGGGTATAATTACCGTATACTCCCTCCGTCCCTAAATATATTACAATTTTTTCTCTCTCCTCTCGATAACTTTTGTTTGTTTACGCGATTTCATTAAGTATTTGATAAAATAAAATATTCTTGTCACCTCTTGTTTTGTAGAACTTTTGACGTAGTTTTTTAATATTGATTTTTATATCTTATTGATATACCAATTTGTAAATAAAATGATTTCAAAAAGTAAAAATTTTTTACTCCGTAACTCGCAATTTGTAATCACATTGGGGAAGGAGGGAGTATGATTTAAAAAGTGTATGGTTTAAAATCTTTTTGGGGGAGAGAAATATTGTGTCACATAGTGTCAATGTCAACCTTGGCGCAATAGCTTTTTCAACACAAATTCTAGAGGTACACTAAGAGTGTACTCGATTTGTACACCGCTGCTATCCTTTTCACACATTTCTTGATGTGAATAAGTAGAGTTGAGAGTGGATAAAAAATGCTAGGGGTGCACTTACCAAAAGTGTACTCCATTTGTACATCATCATCTTCCCCACCACACAATTCTGGATGTGGATAAGTAAAATAAAGTGTGGGATGTACAAATGGGGTACCCCAAGCATTCCTTTTTCCAAAACACATGCACACTGCTACGTACGTAGTAGTGGTTTTTTAGTACTAGGTGTGGAGTATACTCCATCCGTTTAAAATGGATGAACGAACTCTGCTCAATTAAATAAAATCTATAATGTATCTTGGGATAAAAAAGATTTTATTAGATTTATCTTATTGATAATTTTTAGAATTAATTTCATTATACAAATATATCATAGAAATTTAGAGCACTGGGTATACTCCTCACGCCCACCGGTGTTACGGGGCGTTTAACGCCCCGGGGGCGTGAAACACCGCCCCCCGCCGGCGTTAAAGGGGCGTGAGGAGCCCTGCGTCAAACGAATGACGCGGCGTGAGTCTTCTCCCCTCCCTCCTAACGGCTTTTTTAGCCGTTGCAGCCCACATTTCAAAAAAAAAGAATTTCCTATAAATTCAACTCCCCCAACCAAGCTCTCACACCTTCTCTTCAATCTCTTCTTCTTTCTTATTTTTAAATTTCAAAATTCAAACCCCCCTCCCAATTTTCAACATGAATCCTTCCGGCTTCGGTTTCTTTCCCGACGATCTCCCGCCCGTCGATGCCGCGATGTGGTATTACCAAGAGTTGGGCGATCGACCGCCGATGTACGAGACGCAACAGTCGGGGTACGTCGACCGAGATTCGGTTCCGGAGACTCAACCGGAACCGTCCGGATCGAAAAAAAGTACACCTCGGAAAAGCCACAAAGCCAAAAGCACGTTGACCGAGGCGGCACGGTCAATCCAAAAGTGGACACCGGAGGAGGAGTGCATATTGGCGTCGGCTTGGGTTGACGTCTCCGAGCATCCTATCATTGGTTAAAAATTTATTTTTTGTAATATATTTATGTTTTTATTTTTATATATTTTATTTAATGGTGTCTAAAAAAATTGTGTAATACATTTTTAAAGGTACGGAGCAAACGAAGGATGCGATGTGATATCGTATCGAGGAGAAGTTCTTCACGACGATGAAGAAGGACGGCTCCTACCGAACCCGGGACCAACTCACTTCCAAATGGAGCCATATCAACAAAAAACTCCGAAAGTTTATGGGAGTTTACGAGGGATGCTCCCGGTCCCGGAGGAGCGGCACGAACGACGCCGATGTTCTCCGGCTTGCCATAACCCGGTATCAAGACGACGAGAACCAAGGCAAGGTGCCCATCGATCTTTGGAGGATTTTGAGTCGTTCCCCGAAGTGGCAACAACTCAACAATCCCGACGGCGGATCGTTCCGGAAAAGATCCACCGTCGACGCCGAGGTTGAGGTCGGCGAGACTATCGGTTCTAGCGATCAAATCCCTCCTTTCAACGTTGCGGATTCCGATGACGAGGACCCCATTCCACGGCCGATCGGAAGAAAGAAGGCAAAATCCATTGCCTCGGGTTCGGGAGGGTCCGCCTCTGTTTCCGCTTCTCCCCGCGACGAAATCGGACGGGCAATGATTGAACAACTTCGGGCATTCAATCTCCAAGAACAAGAGAGGTTGAAGCTAAAAGAGAAGGAGTTGAAGCTAAAGGAGCAGGAGGCTGAGATGAAAGTCATGCAAACCGACCCCGGGACGTTGTCGGAGTTTGGACGAATGATCTATGAGCAAAGAATGAGAGAGATCAAGGAGAAATATAATTTACCTTAGTTTTTTTTGTTAATGTATCGTTTTTTAAATTATTGACGCTTTTTTTTATTTAATGAATGTATTTTTTTATTATTCGTGTTTCAATTTAATTAAATAATAAATTAATTACATTTTATTAATTTAATTTTAGAAGATGTATATTTAAAAATGTAAAAAATGAAGGTTTGAAGCCTAGTTTTGAAGCCCCGGGGCTTCAAACCCATTCCCAGTGAATTTTGGGTGTAAGTTAAAGCTGACGTGGCAGAGAGAAAAAGTTTGAAGCCCCGGTTTGAAGCCCCGGGCTTCATAACCATTACCAGTGCTCTTAGAGTAATTGATGCTCAAATTTAAAGTTAAACCTTACAAAAATACTTATATTGTAGTGATACTCAATCTCTTTCAAAACTAAGCATTTTCCTATTTAGACTAAGCCATCTCACTATCATCTGTTTCATATTTTTCTCCAGGCTTTTATAAAGCTACATGTACCTTAATTTTAGATTTTCTTAGATTTTTTCCCATTGGTATTTTACTATCTTTTATTCCATTCACTTTATTTGTATTAAATCCATTGTATTTTACTTCCATTAACTTTATACGGAGTATGTATTAGGCTCCGTTCATGGAAGACGGAGGCGGAGAAGACGAATTGTATTACTGCTCGGAACGCCGCCGGAGGCTTCCGATGAAGTCGACGACGTGGGCGGAGAAGACGTGTAGCAACCCGAGGAGGAACGTGTCGTGGTTTGCAGACCGGTCGAAACCGTCACCGATCAGGGCGTAACGGATGTCCAGCTCGGAGCCAGTCCGGGCGTCTGAGAATATGCCCGATGAGGATTCTCCGGCGGCGGCGGCGGCGCGGATTAAGTTGGCGTGGGGGTTGAGGAAGGTGACGGTGAAGCCCTCTGAAGCGAGTTTGAGGGCGAGGTGGACGAAAGGGGTCAGGTGGCCTTGAAGTGGCCGGGGATGGCACCATCACCACATGAACGGCGGCGCCGCTGCTCTTCTTCTTCATCATCTTGTTCTTGTGCTCTGCTTCAAGCTCTGCCTTTATTTAGTTCAGAGTATTTTTTTTATATCAAAGTTTTTAAATTTTGACCGTAAATTATGTAAAAAATAAATTAAATTGTGATAAAATTTAATATCAATAAAGAAATTTCAAAACATGTCTTTATTTTCTACTATATTTTTATATGAATAGAGATATTTTCCCCACTTAAAATCTTTCTAAACATGTCTTTATTTTCTACTATATTTTCTATCTCTATTCATATATTTTTATATGAATAGAGATAGAAACATACCCTTTTCTCTTAAAAAAAAGTGATATGTTTTTATTTTAAATGTGCACCACATTTTGGATTGTCTTGCCATTGAACTTTTTTCTTCTAAATGTGATATGTGATGCAAATATGACATTTAAAGTTGGCAAACCACATTGTTTTTTGATATTTTATACTCTGTATTTAGTTTTTGTTGACATTATATACCATCTTCTTCCTAAAAATTTCTCCTCATTATTACAGTCTCTCAATAACTTATTTATTTATATGTTTTAATTAATCATTTGATAAAATAAAATACTTTTATCACCTTTTATATTTTGAACTTTTGATGCAATTTTTAAATATATAATTTTTATTTTTTATTTCAATATCAATTTATAAATAAAATCCTTTTAAAATTCACTAGATTTTGCAGGTTGATCAAAGGGAGTAATTCATTTTGGGACGAAGAAAGTATTATTTCCTCCGTCTCACAATAATATTGCACAAGTGACCGAACGGCGGATACATAGATTAAAAAAAGTAAAATTGTGTGATTTTAGTGCGGAGAAGAGAGAAATTGTGTTAGCCACGAAAAGTTTGTCTATTATGGAAAGTGAAACGGATTTTTGGGGTCGATAAAAAAGATATTGTGAAACATTATTAATGAAAGATGAATGCACTAACATGTTTCACATTAGGCATTCTATGTTTGTACTTTTCTATGTTTGTACTTATGCATTACCATCTTTTGTAATTATAGTTTCGGCTAACATGGTATAGTTACGATAACATTGTACGTATAGTGACAATAAATGTATCAATGCATATATTTTATTAGTGTAGTCTCATTTATTAGTGCCAATGAATTATTTTCAAACCAAACACATCCTAGATGACTACTTTTCAAGCCTAGTTTGGTACACGGAATTCAAACTATGGAATTGGAATTGATGACTTCAATTCTAATTTTAGTGTTTGGTAGCACAAAATTATGTAGATTTATAATTGGTAGTGGAAAAAATGAATTGGAATTGGCAAATTCAATTTTTATGGAATTGAATCCCATGAAATTTTAATTCGAATTCGATTCCATCAATTCCGTGTACCAAACGGACCCTGTGCTGAGCCTTGAGCTTAAGCTCATGCATGAATGCCTCCAAATGCTTCTCTGAAGACCCATTTGCAGACACAGCTCTCTGCAGTTTCTCCTTTGCTAATTTCACCTTCTCTCCCAATCTCTCCCTTGTGGCCCCCCTACTCATGAGACGGTTCGCTTTCCCCCTAACTTCCCCCCTAACTTCTTCCCTTTCGACCGCCTTTCCATCGCAAAGGTTGATCCCGACTTTCCAGTCATCGACCACGAGCCTCCTGTTCGCGGGTTGATCCGTGAACAGCGGGAAGCACAGCATTGGGACCTCCCACCACACGCTCTCCAGAACCGAGTTCCACCCGCAGTGCGTCAAGAACCCCCCGGTCGCCCGGTGGGACAACACTTCGGTTTGGTTGCACCACGGCACGACGAGCCCTCTTCCTTCAACCTCGCGGCCGAATCCCGCGGGGAAGAGATCGGGCTCGTCCGCGGATGAGCCCGTGATGTCCCCGCGGATCGCCCACAGGAAACTCGCCCCGCTCAGCGCGAGCCCGCGGGCGATCTCGCGAATCGCGTGCTTGTCCACGCTCGCCAGACTCCCGAAGGAGACGTAGAGGACCGAGTTCTCCGGCCGGGCGTCGAGCCAGGGGCGGCAATCGGCCGACTCCGGCCGGAAACTAGTCGGAACAGCGGTCTTCTGAGGGACGCTGTCCCGGAAGACCGGGCCGACCGGGTAGAACAGCTTCTTGCGTTGCAGTGCAGCGATTGCGGAGGACTCCAGCTCAAAAACAGTGTTGGAGACGATGATGTCGGCTTTGACGGCGTCTTCGAGGGATTTGAAAACGTAAGTGTTCATTAGTGTCCATGGCTCGGAGTCTTGAAGGTGAGAAGGAATATCTCTGGTTTTGATTGCTTCCACTCCAGGTATGTAATCTATAACTTCATCCTCTCCATTATTGTCTAGAAACCATCAAATTACCAAAGTTAATCCAATCATTAATGATAAGATGATATATATCTCATTTTGAATTGATATTGCATCTTTTTGGTAAAGGACTTTATTTTGCAACACACCACTGTGATGGGTTCAAGAAGTTTACAAGAGAAAAGAAAAGGGAAGTACAACGAAAGGAGAATACGAGGAACAAATGAACAATAAAGAGGATCAAAATAGAATTCTTTCAAAAGACATGTCTTCAAAATATGAAGATAAAAACGACATTATTTTTATTTTCTAAATAGTAAATAGAAGTTTGATAATGTGAATAGTGATACTTAGACATCAACACCCTCATTTTTCAAAACTTATTTCTAAAGTCAGTGTGATTTTAAAATATTGCACTCATATCTTCTATGATCATTTTTGGACTATTTTTCCGGCAAAGAAGGGGGTATTTGTGCATATTTTCTAAATCATAGGGGCACTAATGCTCATTTTTATTTCTCAGTTACTCCGTCTTTTTTGTTTTTTCCATTTTTCCTTTACATGTTTCTTTTATTAACCAAGGTTTTTTAAATTTCTTTTTAAAATTATTCTTATAATGTTCTTAAAATTTAAAATTATTTTTTTTTGAAAAAATTAACATATACTGCATCTGTACGTTTCAAATTAACAATTTTGTTTTCCAAATAAAAAAGTAAATTTTTTTTAGAATTTCAAAAAGAAATATTTGCAGTAAATAGAACTATAACATAAATAATTTCCCAATATAGAACTTAAATTTTTTTATTCCTTAAATAGTATTCCGTACTTAATAATGTCTAGTGGGAGGAATAATGTCTAGAATTCTTTCAAAACCACATGTCTTCAAAATATTAAGATAAAAACGACATTATTTTTACGGGCCGGTTCTATGGCTATTGCTTTTCAGTTGCCACGGAAGCCACTGCTCCGATTCAGATACTTACGGTACTCCGTTCGTAAAATTGATGATTTCTAAGTATTCTAACCCCCGGTAAACCCCCTCGTCCAGTCCCGACCCTAACCCATCCTCCACTTACGTCAATTGCACCCGCAAGTTTAGTTGACTTTAAAGTAAAAAAATTTGAGACAAAATACGGGCCTGTTTGGGAATAGCGTTGGCGATTAGTGTTAGCGTTTTGAAAAGCCTTTCTACGGGCAGCGTTTAGCGTTAGCGTTTTTAAAGTAATCAACATCGTCAAAATTTTATCCAAAGCGCTAACGCTAATCTCTAACGTCATTCCCAAACAGGCCCTACATGAATATAATACTTCTTCCGTCCACAAATAAACTTCCCGTTTACTATTCACATGGTCAAACTTTAATCACTTTGTTGGACCTATTATATTTTCGTCACCCATTTGTTAAAATAATATAATCATGTCACCTCTAGTTTTGTAGATCTTTTTATATAATTTTTTAATATGTAATTTTTATTTTTAAATTTTACACCATTTTTCATATAAAGTAATTTAAAAATAACTTCAGTCAAACATCGTAACGCGCAACAGGAAGTTTATTTGTGGAAATACTAAATTTTTATTCTACCAAAATGTATGTATTCTTTCCAAATGAGAAATCCGAACGTTAGGCATTGACGTTTCATAGAAATGAGAAGCAACACATCTGAAAAAAGATTTCATTAAAAAGGAAACAATCTTTTCTTATTTCTTTGCCATCTCATGTTTACCCCATTCTCTGATGCTTGTACTATGTACGTAGTAGCCTATCATGAAAAAAATTGGACATTTACTTGAAATCTTTTTTCTTTCTTTGCCATATAGACTCAGCTCATTGCCTTAACAAATGAGTCCTAGTTTTCGATCAATTCTATCAAAGTTATTTTGAATTTATTTTACTATTGATGCGGAAAAAATAATAACAAAATGTATATATTTGCACATTAGAATCTTGATATATATATATATATATATATATATATATATATATATATATATATATATAGTAAATTTTATAATTGGTCCTTTATAACAGGGGTTTCCCTATCTGGTCCTTTGTTATTAAATATTACTTCGGTGGTCCTCACATAAAAAAAATCTTTTTTTATTCAAAAAAAGAAATTCTTAACTAGATAGTAAAAGAAATACTTATTTTGCTCATATGTAGGTCTTTAATGGACCTTAGATCCACCATAAAATTTGCCTTACTTACCACCCTTATCTCTAACTCCAAATAAAATTGTGTAGACCTTAGGTCCACAATATTATTTACCTTATTTTAATAAGAGTGATGTTTGTAACCTGAAATCTCTACTTTTGACTTTTTTATTCCCTAAATAGGACTTAATAATGTCTTAGTGGAAGGAATAATGCCCAGTAATGATGGACATTTACTTGAATAATGACTAATTAATAATGACCAAAGGTCCTAAATTGGGAAATAAAAACATATGGTCCTATATTGAGAAAGTCATTATGTTTTAGTCCTATTTAGGTAAATTACTCATAAAGTAACTATTTTAACAAAAATCTGAATGCTAGAGATGGGAGTTTAAAGTACTCCATAGTAATTATTTCCTCCAATCTTAAAAACCTTTCTTGTTTTAACTTTTTGTTCAAATAGTGATATTCTTTAACTACAAATTAAATAAATTTAAATAAATAAATGATATAAAAATTTGATATATCAAAAATATATCTTAGAATAAATCTTATTATATTAAATTTACATTATAATTTAATATAAGTATTTTTCTCAAAGTTTGTGGTCAAAGAATATCACTGATTGACCAAAAAAATCAAAACAGGAAAGTTTTTAGGACCGGAGGGAGTAAAAAACTAGTTTTTAGATCCGCCACTGCCGGCCAGACACATATATCCTCGGAAAATATTCGAATATTATCTTGTAGTATTTGAATACTGGCAGCCTTTTGCAAAAATTATTAAATTTACGTTGAAAACTATTCCCTCCATTTTAAAATTTTCTTCAAATTTCTTTTTACAAAGTTTGGTTGAAATTCTTTTCAATTCAAATAATTTGATTATAAATGTAAAATTTAAAAATAAAAATTATTTACTTAAAAACTGCGTAAAAAACTGCGTAAAAAACTCTATAAAATAAGATGTGACATGACTGTTTTATATTTTATTAAATGACTAACAAAAAATCATAAAAAAGTATTATCAAAGTTTGAACATATAAGTAGTACGGAGTTACTGGGAAATATTTTTTAGAATGGAAGGCGTATAATTTTAGCATTGAAATGTCTGAGGTTTTATGTATTCAAATAAACACGATGAATTTTTCATAAGGCAACAGTATCAAAAATATAATTAATTAAAGAAAAATTTACTCTAAACAGGACTAAAATTAAAGGTGTTACGTTTCTCTAAATCGGATCAAATATGTTTTATTCTCTTTATGACGCATAATTTTATATGATATATGCTCTCATTAGCAACAAATGTTGGATAGTGAGTGATTATAGAATAACTCTACGAATGTGGCCGTTAGAAATAAATATTAGATAATGATTGAATATTTTAATGACTATTCAAATTATTTTTAATAATGTCTTATTCTGCTTGAATTGTGTGATAGGTCATCTTTCTCAAAAGCAGGGCATTTTAAAATTTTCTATTGTCAAACGTTAAAGTAAATACGACTGATCTTATTTAGGGAAAAATGATATATTTAAATCCTATTTTCTTAAAGGATTAAGTTATTTGTACACTAAAATTTGTACCCATTTTGTACCTCAAAGGCATGCATCGACATGTTGTACTAGTGTGATGTTAGTGTGATGAATTACATTGACAAAAATGTCAGTGCAATTTTTTTTAATTGAACTAATATTTTCTACCAGTATGAATTTTTAAAATATGGGTACACTTTTGAATGCGAAATACTCCTTAGAATGGAACCTAAAGATGACATACCTTGAGGCCCAAGGTGACCATGAGCACTCAAAAGCTCCTTGTGAAAGTACATGGTGAAAGCCAAAGCCGATTGCGTCCAAAAAGACACGTTAACCAGGCCGTGTTTTCTTGCCACTGCCGACGGCCACACGAGGAAAGAGTCAGCCAAGAGACACGACACCGGTGGGTTCACGTCCGAGTTCTGCCGGAGGCTGCCGATGAAGTCGTCGACGTGTGCGGAGAAGACGTGGATCAACCCGTGGATGAACATGTCTTCGTTTATCCCCTGGTCGGACCCCGGGGGAAAACCGTCGCTGATGACGGCGTAACGGATATCCAGCCCGGAGCGGTCCCGGGCGTCGGAGAATATGTCGGAGGAATTATTTCCTGCGGCGGAGGCAGGGGCGGAGCGGATTAACTTGGAGTGGGTGGCGTGGGTGTTGAGGAAAGTGACGGTGAAGCCGTGAGAAGCGAGTTTGAGTGCGAGGTGGACGAAAGGGGTCAGGTGGCCTTGAAGTGGGGCGGGAACCATCACCACATGAACGGCGCCGCCGCTGCTCTGCTTCGTCTTCTTCATGTGCTCTGTTTCTGCGTCCATTTCTGTTTAGTGGTTTCAAGCTCTAGCTGCAATTCTCTCTTGCCTTTATTTGTACTAATAAGGAACATGAAATGGTTTTTATTTATGTCAAACCTTTATCTTTTCCAATAATACAGTTTTGAAATATTATACAAGTAGTTTTGAGTATGGCGGTAAACGGATAGCCGAAAATCTGATTACCGTCCGTATCCGTATTCGTTTAAAGAGGAAATATCCGCATCCGTTTTAAATGGATATTATCCGTATCCGAATAAGGATATCCGATTACTAAATGGATACGGATTTGGCAATTGTATATCCGATCCGTTTAAAATCCGATCTGAATACGCATTCGTTTAGATAACCGTTTATCCAAATATCCGATCCGTTATATATGGTTTTTCCTATTTTTTTATGTTTATACTTTGTTTCTCTATTTATATTTCAGAGTATAAGAAATTTTTATTAACAAAATAAATGTGTAGACACATAATAATATGTGCAGACATATTAAAATATGTGTATATGTATGTTGTGTATATTTTTTTATCATATGAAGTTATCGTAGAGTATCATAAATCATGAAAACAAAAAAAATAATTATCCCATAACAAATTATAGTTGATTTAATAATAGTTTGAATTTAATATAATTTAAAATTAAAGTATGGTTCAATTTGATTTTAAAAATTAGAAACGGATACGGATATATCCGATATCCGACCGATGCGGATACGGTTTTAATTTTCAGTATCCGTCAAGATCCGCATCCGAATTCGATATCCGACAAAAATAAATGGATACGGATTTGGTAATGGCACATCCGATCCGATTAATATCCGTTTACACCCCTAGTTTTGAGTATTTTTCTACTTCATGATACGGCGGAGTATTTATTTATAGATACTCAAATAAATATGGAGTATATTACCACCTTGATTTCCATGTCATTGGGATCAATGTCATGCGGTCAATGTCATGGGATGACTCGAAAATTTACGGTGCTCCGTTTGAAAAATTAACGTTTCTACCCCTTTTAACTCCTCCGCTAAACCCTTGATCATGGCCCGATCTAAACCAAATTTTGTGGACTATAGAGTCAAAATTTGACTCTAAAGTCAATAAAATTTGGGGGTGCATGTGAAGAGGGATGGTTCGCGTCGAGCAGAATAGGCGATTTACCAGGGGCTAGAAAAGGTAAAAACTCTCAATTTTATGAGCAGCGTACCCTACGACTCCCACGTCATCCATGTCATTGCTTAGAAATAACTACCATTACATTGCTCAGCAATATCATTGAAACTGCTCATGTATATTATTGGTTATAGTATTAGTTTAGATTTACGCTCTGTTCCGTTCAACTTATTTTTTCTGATCTGATTTGATTTTTTGTAATTCTGATCTAATTTAATCTGATCTGATTGGATATGATCTAATCTGATCTGATTGGATCTGATCTGGTCTGATCTGATTGGATCTGATCTCGTATGATCTGATCTGATTAATTATGATTTGATTTAAAATTTAAATTAATAATTTGATTTGACTTTATAATAACGTTTGAAAATTTTAATGATAATTCATAATATAATATAATCAATATTTTTAAATTAGAAATCTTCACCAAGCAAAAACTAATTATTTAGTACTCCCTCCGTCCACCTAAGATCTTCTCATTTTGATTTTTTGTAAGTAGTTTTTAAGAAGAGTTGAAAAAAACTAAAAATTTACCATAATATCTTTAATGAAAGTGGGTGGAGTATATTAAATGAAGTGGGTGAGATGTAATACATAAAGTAAGTGAGTGTAGTTGTGGTATTTTAATGGTTAAAAAAGGTAGACAAATAAAAAGGGTTAATGAGAAGATTTATGGAGGACGGAGGGACTAAATAAATGAAACATGTGGCCTACTGTAAAGAAGAAATACATTATCATCCACTAACCACTGAGTTTTACGCCACTACATCGACCAAGAGAGTACTCCCATCATTGTGCCACCAATAATTTCTCAAGCAAACTTGGAGACACTAACACCAATAAGACCCACTAGAATGGACTTCATCCTATTTTCTTCTTCTTCTTCTTCTTCTTCCTCCTCTTCTTCTTCCTGTAAATATGCAGTCCATGTAATGAGACTAAGATAAATGTCTTTAAATCTAAACACTATGAAGCATATACTCCACATTAAGAGGAGTGATTATGGCATAGCCTCTTTGGGCCTGATCTCAATCCCTTGCACAACTAAGCCACTCTTCTGATTACCTCCCCTAACCTCCATAAAACTCATCTCAATAATACATTCTTCTTCTTCTTCTTCTTCTTCACCAGTGACCAAAATGTCCCCCAATTCAACTTCCATCCAGTGATCACTCCTCTGCCTCACATGTCCAGTATTTGCATTTTCCTCCTCTGATGGGGGGCTCCTGTTGTGCCTCAACATGCCAGGTATTCGCCCCACCCCCGCACTTGGACCTACCCGGCTTCTTTCGAATCCCAGATAAACAGTTCTTGTTTTAGCCTCTTGTCTGCTAATCCCGACTGAAGCGTCTATGGGTAGGTTGTCAAAACCATATGCGTTTGATTTTAGTGAGAACACAAGGTAAGCCCCGTAATTGGTGCCCGGTGACAGCATCTTTGGACTTATTTCCCCACGAATTTCAAGCCACCATACATGACCAAGCACCGCAACTTCAGAAAACCTAGTTCACCAAGACAAGAAAAAACGGAATCATTAGGTTTTGTTTGGAACACGGAAATGTTACCTTTGTATTGCGTTTGGTACTTTGGTTAAAGCATTGGAATAGACAAAAAAACAAAACTGTTTATAGCTTTTGATTAACTTGTACGTATTATAACGATACGGAGTAACTTTTATTTCTATTTGTCTCTCTGTTTTCTTTCACTGGCATTGTCTGGGTGCCACGGACTCTAGACACTTCTTCACTCACAAAGCAGAGATGACTGTGTGCACATCCACAGTGGTAGACAGGTCATGGGTGTGCCAACCATTTTATCCACCGTTTAGGCCCCACAGTATAAATGGTAAGAGGTATGACATTGAGGACATTGGGGTATCCATCATTTTTGTGCACCCAATATGCTTGCCAGATAGGAGGTGCAGAGCAAATGCATCTAACCCTTGCTTGTTGTGACTTGTGAGTCTTGTGACATGATGATTAGGTCTGATGGATATAACTATATCCACTATTGCACTGCTACGGTTTGAACTGTCTGAACTCAGAATGTGTGAAACTCTCGGTGTAGTTGGAAGACAACCTTGTTTTGATATTCAAGGTGACTAACAAGACGCCGATTAACTGGTAGCTTGACAATCATTACTACCCAGTACCCACTCATTTATTATGTAACATTACATGCAATTGCGGAGTATTAGCCACCGTTAAGTACTCGTACTACTTAATTATTAGTTATTACTTACTCCCACCGTCCCCCTGTATTTGTCCACTTTCATTTTTATACACCATCCAATGCACTTCTTTAATCCATTTTATCTTGTAATTTGTATATTAAAAAATTATAGAAATTATATATTAATAATCTATATGTTAAGACAAATCAAACAAGATCACACATGACTATATTTAGGCTTACACATTGAGAGAATTTGATGAGTCAAAGTGCTTCGATGAACAGTTCCAAAAGTCAAATGTGGACAAAAACAGGAGGACGGAGGGAGTATTAGCCTATGTATGTGGCTCAAACCCCTCATACCATAGGAGGAGGGGGGGGGGGGATCCCCTAGTTTAGGGAGCCAACCTCTCACCATTGTAAAACCTTATTAAGAAATACTCTATACATACTAAAGACTCTATCCCATTGATTTCTTCATAGTACGGTTTACAATGATTAATTGATTGATGTTTTTTTAAATCGTTTTATTTAGTTATTGGTGTAAAATTACAAAATCAAATATAAACATTAAAAAACTACATTAAAAGATCTACCACAAGAAGTGGCATGACTATTTTTTTATCACATGATAGATGAAAATATGGAAAGAAAGTGAAAATAGTTTGATCATGTGAATAGTAACTCTAAATAATGGTATTCATTGCCTAGAAGATAAAGTGTGTGTGTATACGCGCGCGCACACACACATATATAGTTGGTTTATGGGTTACCTTGAATGTGGAAGTGAAATCCATTTCCAGTATGTATCGTCCTCTCCCCAAGAAATTTTGAGTGACCTTGCAGCTAACATGTAACATTTATTCCCACTCTTTTTCTCCAGTGAAAAGCTCTGCTTAATCAAATACAGAGTACTCCGTATAAGATAGACAATTTTCATTTCCAGCAGACTCGACGAATAACAGATTCCACTGCTAAAATGTAAAATTGCAATCAAGCAGTAATAAAGCTATTGATTCTTGGCAGTAAACAACAGTAAAATTTGATCAGTTGATCTCCTTAGAAGTGCTCTAATTTAATCTCCGATAGAAACAGTAAAATCTCCTTTGTGGGGCATTTGATCTGGAGGAATTTGATTCTAAATCTACGGCATCTCATATCTAACAAGATGGGCGAAGAGAAATACCATGGTGCCGCCGTCAAGAAGGATGTGGTGATCGGAGAGGTGGAAGTAGAGATCCTTCTTCGAGGCGAAATTGAGCGAATCGGGTCCGTTGGCGGCCCGGGTTACGACGTCGCGGTAGTCGGAGGGCAAAAACCGCTCCCAGACGGCGTCGAATTGGACCGCGGCGTGGAAGCTAGAGGACACCAGCGACAGACGGCAAGCGTCCCTAGGGGTGGTCAGCGACAGCGCGTTGGCTATGCAGTCAGGGGCGGACCCACTATGGTGCAAGTGGCGTCATCTGCAGTCACTCCAAAATTATTTTTTTTTAAATTTTATACTCAATTCACAATTATCATACGACTAGTGCGGTCATGTTACAAAACAAATACTGCGTCACGTGCTTACCCCAAGCGCGTAGGCAACAAAAAAAATGTCAAAGCAATCGTTTTGGAGTTGCGTTGCTAAAACTTTGAAATGCAAATTGGACTTTTACAAAAGAAAGAGGATTGTTTGATTATTCATTCAAAGTACCTTAGTGAACAAATTAAAGAAAAAAAAGTACGTAAAATAAAAAAACTCTCTTCTTAAAAAGGAAAAAAATAATATAGCATTTTGGCAATAAGATTTCAAAGTAATTACTTACTTTTTCATTAGAACAATTGGTGTGTTAATTCTTTAAAAAAATGTTCAAAAATAAAATAAAATATTTTTTTTCAAAAATCAATTGTTTCGTCGATTACTGAAATGACAACTAGGTTCGGAAGGGGCTGCAGACCCGGATGAATGAGGATGTTTTATTTCGGTTACAGGCGAGAGCAATACAAAGTAATTTGTATTGAATAAGAATATGATAATTCTCATCAGCGCTGGTACTCCTTCTCAAATATGATGGTACTCATTGTCATATATAATAGTTCTCACGTATGTTTTATGCATTAGATAAAAAATTTACAAAATTTACAAAAAAAAAATAAATATAGGAGAGACCATACTGAGTAAATGTATTTGCGGGCGCATGTACTGAATTGAGTGGGTCTCAGCAATGGCGGCTTAGTTTCTTTCAATATTAGTGATTACGGGTTAATAGGAAAACCTTGCTTGAATTGAGTGGGTCTCAGCAATGGCGGCTGAGAATAGCGTTATCGGAATCGATATCAACGCGCTGCCTGATGACTGCATACAGGGGCGGACGCAGAAAATATGTTTAGTGGGTTCATAAAAATTTTAACATATACTCCGTACAAAATAAAGAAGACTAATTGTAATTAATATTAACTCATACAAAACACCAAAGTCATATTACATAACAAAACACAAACATTACAATAAAAGAAGATATAATATACTCCCTATTCTTTTAAAAAAACTCCAACGTATAATCTAATTATCTCAAGGGAGATTAAGGTACGAAATACATAATTTGTAAAAAAAATCAAAACAGAGTGCAAAAAAACTCCAAAATGCCTTACTACCTCCAAAATATCTAGAATGCAAAAAAACTTCACTGCACGCTGCCACTGCCCACAAATTAAACCAAAGTACCTAAGGTGCATAAAACTCCATAGTATCAAAGGTGAAAAAATTTCCAAAGTATAATTTTGATTATCCAAGAGATATAAATCAAATAATGTTATAATTAGTATAAATCTAATTATTTAAAGTGCCTTACAGCCCTTAGTTACGGACTTACGGCCTCCCCCAACCTGCCACGCCGCCGCCCGCCGGCCACCTCCTCCAGTCGGCGAGTCTTCCGGTGTCTTCCCGCACGCCACCGCAAACAAAACAGAGGAAAATTTGTAAGATGGGATTTGAGATGGGAGGGTTTGAATTGGGTGCTGTGAGGCTGTGATTCCGTCCAAGCCTCCAAGGGATAAGGTGGCTGGGTGATTTTTTTTAGTATACCCAAAACGACGTCGTTTTGAGTATAAAATTTAAAAAAAAAAAATTTTTGGAGTGACTGCAGTTGACGCCACTTGCACCATAGTGGGTCCGCCCCTGAGAATATCCCCAAATCCAAACTCAATCACCCAATTAATTCAACAATTCAATTCACAAATCCAACATCAATTGCACAAAAATATACTAACGGATCCTAATCTATGAATCAATTCTAACGAGAGATAATTCACTCACCTCTATTGACAAATTAAACTCCGGCCGATCCTTGTAGAACTCCGGCGACAACTCCGGCGGAACTCCCCTCCGATCCGACGCGCAGAGAAGAATGAGGAAGATGATGGACACGGCTCCTCATGTGTATATATAATGGTGGGTAACTTTTAGGCTTTCCAAGTGGGGATAGGAAAGGACCGTGGTTTTTTTAAATAATATTTTATTATAAAAATTCTTTATTTTTTTATTAAACTGTAACGTCTATTTTTTTATTAGGGTGTACACGAAAGTCCAAATTTAACAAACTATATACCATCGGTCACTATTATACGAGGTCTACCCGAAAATCTAATTTTTAACTAAAATGGTCAACTTTAGAAATACTTCATATTTTGGAGTCAATAAATAGTACTTTCTCCGTTCCAAAAAGATTTACACGTTTTGACTGAAGTTGAAATTAAGGGAGAAATAATTTTGTGTTCACTTTCCAAAAATACTCTTGATGTGATGGGTAAAAGTAGAATGTGATGTGTAGATTATTAGGAAACAGGTATGATGCGATATGTAGGGTTTGAAAAAGTAAGGGGTAAAAGTGGTTTTTTAATAGAAATGAGTAGGAGATTGTGGGACGCAATTTTTTTGAAAAGTGTAAATCTTTTTGGGACGGAGGGAGTATATTTTTTTTAATTAAAATAACGGCTTACTACTAAGCCGGTTTTCAGGGCGTTACAAGTTTATTCTGGGACCAGTAGTTTCAAATGGTCATTAGTTTGTATGGAGGACTTTAGTCAAGGACTACTATAAGATATACTGAGGACTTGAGCTGGTCCAGAATTGGTAAAAGATTGGTCTGAAGAGTAGGATTAATCCTAAAGATCAATCCTCCAAAAACTATATAATCCATATATTACTTATATTTATGCATAACACTTTAAAAATCTAAAAAAACAATACAAACTTACAAAGTATTAATACTATTAAACTATTGTTAGAGGTTTGAGATGGAACATCACAAATACAATTCCTAAAAATGTTACACTTGTAATAAATGACGCATTAGTGATAAAAGAGTAACCCTCCATCCCTAAGAGCATCTCCAACCATAGCAAAATGACTTGCTATATGTTATAATTTGACAAGCATATACAAAATTTTATGCTCCAAGGGGTTATTCAAAATTTGACTAGCTTGCTAAAAAATGAAAACACATTGCTATTTATAACAAGCATGCTAGAATATAGCTAAACATAAATTAAGGTAAATTTCTTTTACAATGATATATACTGCACAAATTAAATACGTATAACATTTTTTTGTTTTTTCAATGTGAATGTGATTTTTACCGTAGGAAGAGTTCTTTGGTTTATTTTATTTTAAATAGAAATATTTTATTTTATATTTTTTAATTACATACTATTAGAATATAAATAACTTTTTCTAGACATAACCACAAGTTTGAGCTTTTGGTTGAATCGGTTCTTTGACACATACTCCATATTTATTACTTTTTTTTTACGTTTACAGGAATAAATACAATTCAAGAATTATTGTATTTGGTGTATTATACTCCCTCTGTCCCATTTTAAATTACCTGTTTGTCTTTTTTCTCCGTCCCAAAATAAGTTGCCTGTTAGTTGTTTTCGTAAACTTTTAAAAACAAAATAC